AGGACACGAGCAGGGAAGGAAGGAGGCGTGTGCCAGGCACAACAGCAAGGAAGTACCTGGCCTCGTGGCGGTCATTAGTGTATCCCCTCTGCTTTGGTCCTGCCTGGCCAGGGAAGAGGCAGCAGCAGTGGGAAAGCAGGGGTTGCCTCGAAACCATCACCTTGCCTGAACTCCCTGGTGCCCCACTCCTGAATGCAGGGTTGGTGAACGCCAGTGATTAATGGGTGTCTGAGGGAGGTGGGTAGTATATGGCATCTAAACACATAGTTTTACTCTAGCCTTGGTACCTGCAACCTCTTCACTGAGCTTTTGGGCAGCTCCTGTCATTCCAGCAAGTCTTCAGGAGTATCTTTGTGCTGTTGTTCCTCCAACCCACCTCGAGTTCCCTTTGCTCAGCAAATGCCCATGCAAACCTGGCTGCAAAGAACCAGTGGGGAGAGCGGCATTGGTGGTTGGATACTGGGACCAGCACATTTTTACAGGAGAAGCGAGGATGGAGCAAGAGCAGCCGTATGGGCTCATAGCACAGACTTGCAGGCAGCTCGGGTAAGTAGGCAGCAGGTTGGGGAGCAACCAGTGACCCATATGGGACCCCCAGCCAAAGCAAGTCAAGTGGGTACTAAAGCAATGAATTCACTGTCATGGACTGGAAGGGGGTAACCAGTAGAGCGTCTGGGGCAGCATTAAGCCAAAAAGACCCACAGCAGAGATTGCATATGTGGGATGTAGAAAATCTCACTGATGTGAGTGGAAAGTCACCGGTGTCTGGGGGCTGATCTGGCAAACTCTGCTGGAGTGAGTGCGGCTGAGTTGAAGGAGGAAGGAGAGTCACTCAGATCTCCATTAAACATTAATGCTCGGCCCTGCCTTGCATTCAGTGAGATGGTAAAAGCCTCTGGATTGCTGAGGATGAATCCCAACCACGATGCAAAACGCCAGCACTGAGCCTTGGAGATGGAGCAAGGAGTGAGCAGGAGCTGAGGACTGCCCTGGTGGAGGCCCCTCACAGAAGGCAGAGAAGTAAGATAAATAAAATCCTAGATTAAAAAAAAGAAGACAACATGCCTGGGCTGGGTGGGAGAGGCCACCACTGCCAGTCACAAGCCATTGGGGCAGGAGCCTAGTGCCATCTTTTTCCCACGCCCCACTCACCCTCTCTGAGCGATGGGATCCTTCAGCTCAGAGCAATGACATTTACTCGCAGGCAAATATTCCCTTCCCTGCTTACATAGCTCAGTTAAACCTCTAGCATAGGGGCATTCATGCAGTGCATGAATAAGCTCTTAAATGCCTCTTGTTGTTTGCTCAGCATCCATGAATCCAAGCCCCCAAGAAAGCCCACGGAGGAGGTGGAAGAGGAGCTGCAGGGAGGTGCTGGGAGTAGCACAGTAAATTGGGACAGAGTTAATGAAGGTATTGACCTCTTCAAAATCAGTGTGTGAGACCCCAGCAAGGACATACACACTGCAAGGATGCATGGTGGGCCCTGAGAAATAAAATTATGTGCTGCCATAACTGCATCTCTAAGTTGTGTCAGGAATGGGACATGGCAGGGTTCTGGCCAAAGCATCAGCTCCAGAAAGGGTTAATGGCACATGAGACATGTTTAGTGGGATTTGGTATTTTTTTTAAACTCCAACAAACAAAGCACATGAGAAAATCCAGTTCACAGCTGAGCCCTGGCTGCCTGCCCACTAGGGCAGGGAAAATGCAGATGGTTCAAAATACCCATGCGCCTGCGTTTCTCCGTCAGCCCGTGGCTCGGGGTCCCCGGCGGGTCTCCCCTCCATAGTATACAAACTGCCTGAGGTGGCAGCAGTGCAAATTGCAGTGTAAAAGCAGGGCTGAGCCAGAAGCAAATCTACTTTGCTTGAGCCCTGATGGCTTCCCTGGACCCACTGAGGAGCTGGAATCCTGCAAGGCTTTGCTTGTTCAAAAATAGTAATTAGCTCTCAAAGTAAATAGGTGTTAACAGAAACAAGGAGCTTTGCTGCAGTCTGGGTAAACACTTTAGAGTCAATCTAATTTCCCTTCTTCCTGGCAGATGTAATCATGCTGCTCTTCAATTATTTTCAGGTTGGAGCAGGGAATGAAGCTACTGTGGCAGCTTTGTGGAGTGGCTGCTCCTCAGCAATGGTGGTACCTGCCACTTCACTGACTTTGAGGTCTCTGAGGCTAAAACGAGCTTCCTTTCGAAGAACCCAGATGTATAACACAGTCAGCAATCAGCTAAACCAGCAGGTAACCGTAGTGCAACATTAAACTGCCCTAAACTCCAGCCTGTTTCTTAATCCTTTGAGTCCTTCAGTCTAGACAGGACATGAAGGACTAATGTGAAAACCAAGCGAGAGAAAATTTACACTCTCCCATTGGCTGCAAGCAGAAAGAGGCATCAAAGGGTGTACATTCCTTTGGCCTTTTAAATCTTTTGCCTTTTGGGAGCGTGGGCAGCACCCAAGCACAGTCCTGCACCAGTGCAGAAGGTTTGCAGTCAGTTTGCATCACTGTGTGCAGCTGCTTTTGGGTTGCCTGTTTGCTCACTAAATCACACTAAAAAGCAACAAAAACCCCATCTTCTTCCTACCGTTGTGGCGAGTTGGTGAAGCAGGCTTTTACATAAACTGCCTCAAAAACTAATGAGTTTTTCTGCCATCACCGGTGGGTTAAAAGCAAACCCATGGCTGGTGCCTGGGGCTCAGCTGATGTGGGGTGTCCCTTCAAGCAGGAGGTAATTCAGCGCATGAAGGCAGCTGTAGTAAATACCTTTGTGGGTGATGGAGCACTTCCTAGGCCAGGGTGTGAATATAACCCAACTGGGAACGGCCCAGCTCTGGGGATGGACCTAGCAAGGCTTCTGAGTCAGCAAAAAGCAGTCACACACTCAGAAACGAGAACAACCAGAAAAATGTGTACAGTGGCTTCCCTGGCAGTTTCTGATCTCATTCTGCCACGCTGCCTGTCTGCTGGGAGATGGAGGTTTAGTTAATTAATTACTACAATTAGCATGGAGCTATTCCTGCCCATGACTGTTACCTTTTCCTCCTCTTTTTGGTGCATCCAATAACTGACTCATTCATTCTCCAAGGCAGAGGCTACAACAAGGCACAGAGAGGCTTGAGGCTCAGCGGGGTGAAGTCTGAGAAGAAAATGTAAGTGGTCCCAAGCTCTATTTCTATCCAGAACTGTCTTAATCTTATACAGGCTCCTCATCCTCTCCCACTCATCAATCCATGCCTTCAAGGAGGTGATGAAGAGGGAGCACAGCAGTTGCAAATATTGCTATGATTATTTTATTTCTCATTCCAGCTGACCCATCAGGAATTACGAGTGATAGGCTTATACACTCTAAGATGGACGGGACTTCCAATACCCATCATGCTGCAATGATCCCACAGCCTCTCCGCCCAGCCCCGGGCTGTGGGTCCTTCAAACAAGCATCTGTCTACTTTGGGAAATCGATGATTTATTCGCCATTACTTAGCAGGGACGGTGAAGGAAAGGTGAGCATAGGGTCACTGCTTCAGTGAGCACCAAAGCGAAGCACCAGCTCTGAATAATTCATGCTCCCTCTTTTGTGCAGCATCTGGACACATCTGCTGCATTCGCCATCGTGGGCTTTTTCTCGGCTGACTCAGAAAATCACACTTTGGCAGCCGGGTTTTTTTTTTTCCCTACAGCACTAACGAGCTGTGATTTTGTTACAAATAGGGATTTTTGTTCCTCTTTTGCTGATGTCACTCCATGATCCTGCAGGGAATAGTGCTTGGATCGCTGCAGTCTGACGAGCCCTGCGTGCCCTCTGGGACAGATGTACTTGCATGCGGGAGATTGTTTTTCCTTTTGCTACCCAGATTTATATTTCACTGAAGTCCAGTATCGATCCCACTGATGCTGGGATGAAAGCTCATTTTACTAAATGGGAAGAAAAACAGTTCCCCCAGCTGAACGCACGCAAAATGGAAAATCCTGCAACAAAACAGCTCTTTAAAAAAGAGGGCCTGAACATTTTTGCTGAACCTCGAGGACTGCGCTGCTGACATTGGAACGGGATGTAATTTATTTAGCCTGACCTTTCCCTGCAAGACCATGCCAGCGGCGTTATCAAGGATCCTTTCTACCACTTGTACCCCCATTGCCAAGGTGATGTCCTGCTTCATGCGTCAGCTGGTGAAGATCGCATCCGCGCCGCTGTGATGCTTTGTTTGCTGTCCTGCCTGACAAGCTCTTGGCAGGGTTTCAGCTCCCGCGGATGGCAGCTGCTCTGCGAGGGACCAGAAAAAGCATGGGACTAGGGTCCCCTGGATGAGACTGGACCATGGATGAGATAAAGTAAAGATGCCCAGAGATGCTATTAGGTGTAATGGGACCAGCAGGCGATCACAGTGCTGCACCCCATGCTCATCCCCATCCCATCTCACTCAAGATTTATGTGAGCCCTTGTGGTGCTGGGGAGTGGAGGCAGCAGGTCCCAGGAAGAGATGGGAATGCAGATGAGGAGGATGCATCTGCCTTTCACATGAGATCCTGTTGGCAATGGGGACAGCCACAGCAGGGAGGGACATGGTCCCAGTAAAGCTTCTCCCCCACCCCACCAAGGGATCGAAACTTCTGAACAAGGGGGATTTTCACTGCTGGTTCCCATAACTCTCAAGGGGACTTCAGTGATGGATGAGGACAAAAGCTGCAGCTAAAAAATTCCCTGGACCTCACCAGCTTCTTAAAAGAGACTCAAAGGTCTACAGTTATGGGGGGAAAAATGAATTAGGTGGCTCACAGGGGCAAAGCCTGCTCTGCTTCAGATGTCAAAGGTAGGAAAGCTTCATGGAGGTTTCCCACATGTCTATTTCCCAGCCCTCCAAAGCTGGGCTATTTCCGACCCTCCCAGCTTTGTGGTGGGCTGCACCCCCCCTCCCACAGATCTGATCTGAAAGAAGAGCTGGGCCCCACTGGGAGGACAGAACAGGACATGCTCCTGGCCATGGGCACATCTCTCACAGTACCTGTGTTCTCCTCAGACTGGTTGAAGCCACAGATCTGGCAGATGCTGCGAACCCACTTGTTCATGTCGTCCTCGGTCTCAGCCACCAGGTAGAAGGTCCTGTCATTGGTCCTGATGTCGAAGATGTAGCTGTCTTGCAGCTCCTTCTTGTTGAAGGTCAGGCCTGCGTCCACTTGCTCACAGAAATTAAGGTTGATGACACGCAAAGGTTTCTTGGAGTGGTCATTTTTGTAATACTCCAGAACGTCGGGGTCGCCACTCATCCGACCGCTGCGCAGGACGAACCAGCGTTTCTTCCATGCCTGAAATCAAGAAGAGAGGAAGCATGAACACTCTTGCTGAAGTAATGAAGAAACCCCTGATAGGCACAGGATGACACAGAGGGACGCAACATTTCTCCACCCCGAGATGCTCTGCGATGCTGCTCAGGACATCCCAGTAAAAGGTGCACAGACTCAGCTTAGTTCATCAGTTCAGTACTCAAACCCCACTGGTTATCTGGGAGAATTAAATACTGAAATATGATTGTAGCTTAAGATGACCCCAAGAAGTGCCAGTCTTGAAGCTCAGAGCAACTTTGCTCCTACCCTACAGCCCAGCCGCATTCCCAAGACCCAAATACCCTTCACTCTTTGATGTGAACTAATTTATGGGGTGACATTACCAGCAATCACAATGCAGAAATGCCTGCCAGCAGCTCAGAGGATCTCAGATGCTTTGGACACAGTGCCCTGGGTATTGTGCCCTTCAGAGAAACCCCTGAGAGTATTGCAGCGTGCACCTGCAGATACCGACCATACCAATCTCATCTCTGTTTAAATACCAGGATAGAAAGGCTAATAAAACCAACAGGGAACTGGTTTTGTTTTTTAAATATCAGGAATAATGCCAGGAAGACCCGTGGAGAATCCAAGCTTCATTTGTTTTTCAGCATCTTCTGCTCCCCAGTATGTAGAAACTCCTTAGCAAAGTAAAAGGTTATCATTGATTCTTTTAAGCACTGCTGATGGCAGCCCCCAGCCAAACTACACCCAGGAACAGCTTCAGGGGGATTATGGCATTTGAAACAAACTGAAAAATAAATGTCAGCCATCAGCCTTGGAACTGAGAGTGGCAGCTCCTCTGTTCTCCCCATGCCAAATGCTGCAACTTACATTACAGAGAATCATGCAGGTGCAATTCCCCATCCCATGGGCTAGAGGGGTTTTTTTGGGGTGTGGGATCTCCATGAGCATCCTGGCGCCTGCAGGAGGGAGGTCCCCATGGTCCCCATCAAAGAGCTAGGCTGCCTTGCAGAGGGCTCAGTCCCAGTGGTGTATGGAAGGGAAGGACTACATCTATGCATAGCCCTTAAAACATCTGAGTTTGTTCAGGCTCGGAAGGTGGTGAATGTTCAAGAGGTGCACGAAAAACATGGGCTGGATATGGCCCTTGTGGATGAGCAGATGAAGGGTACTGCTAGCGCTCCTGCTTTACCTGACACAAACCTCGGTTTGCACCAAAGGACACCACGGGAGGGGATGCGGTCCCATCCATCCTGCCCTGGCTGTGAACATTTGCTTGTTTTACAAGCTTTATCTTCATTATTTTAAACAAATCACCAGTTTTTGGGTTCACGTGATTATGAGAGGTTGGGTCATGAGGAAGCACATGACATCCCTAAGAAAGAAAAACAACTGCCAAAAACATCTTTAATAACCCAAGAAAGGCAGCAAGGCAAACACTGTGCTGGGACCTCAATGATGCTCCCTGGACAGTGACTACAGCTTCGCGTGTTGGTGATGGGGCATGTGCAAGATCCCAGCCACTCGACTGCACCAGAATCCCACAGTTTTGGAGAATTTGGTGGCTGAAATAAGGATAAGAAACCCCTGTGATATTTTCTCAGAATGGTACGATTTGCACAGTACTTCTCAAAGCCTTAAAAATAGCTTTTGTTCATGTCTTTGAGATTTGTAACAAAATTAGTTTTGCACTAATTCTCAAACAGGCTCCCAGTGCCAGAAAAGCAACTTCAGAGCAATCTTCCAAATGCAGTGGAGCAGCAAATTGCTTAGTAAGAGGACGTGCGAGGCTGGCAGATTTTGGTTTCATCTGGGAGATGCTCACTTGCTTCTCATCAAAACGGCTGCTTTTATATGAAAAAAACCCCTGCACACGGTAGAGCTGCATTCATCAGGGATGGAAAAACCCAATTTCACCAGACAGCAGCAATGATTTGCTAGTTCATCTCCTCAAAATGGATCACCCAAATAATTGGGAAAAAACCGTTATGAATACTTTTTCTAGCTCTAGGTGGAAAATGTTCCATTAGCTCCTTTCTGCTAATACTGAGCCATTTCTTCGCAGCCACTTGGCAGGGCAAAGACATGGGCACACATCAGTGAGAGGGATCAAGCTGTGCCACCACATGAACCACCACCTGAATGAAGACACATCCGACAGCAGCTCTGGCTACTTGGCTGGCTGCTTTCCAACCATTTGGAGTCAAGCCTTGCAGCATCGCTTCATGGCTGAGAAACTGCATTAAAAACCCCACAGACTACACTCCAGAATTTAAAGCTTTCATGGAAAGAAAATAGGAGGAAATGCTGCACACAAGGCCAACGATGCTACCGCGGCTTCCCTTTTTATTGCCATTGTGAGAGCCACAACTTCTCTAGTTCTCTTTAATCTGTCTGATTGCAATGGAAAGCCCCACACAGCCAGTATTTGGCAGAGAAAAAAGTACAACACACACAGTCTGGTGGTATTGGGTAAGTCCTAACCTAGGCTGGTTACAAAAGAAATGCTCTTGTCAGGACAAAATTGCTTGAGAAGCTCCAGGCTGGAGCATCACTGGAGGGTGGGATCCTTGGACAGGGCAACAGCCCCACCAACCTGGGGTGATCACCTTGTCCCCCTCTGTCTGCTGCCCTCATGATGATACAGAGTCACCAGTGTTTTTCTAAAACAGCTTTGGATCCAGAAAAACAGCTCATGGCAGCAGCTGCTGGACTCGCCTGTCCTGGACAAGCAGCTGCAGGCAGCATTGCTGGATGCAAATCCCATCGCATGTCCCCGCAGCAGGACCTGCTGTTTCTGCTTCCTAAGATCCGCTTGTATGCCAGAGGAATAAGCATTGGCTGTTAGAAGAAATGGAAGTAAATAAGAAATACCCAGGAAACTTCTTATTTTTGTGGAGATTTTCCCCATTTCTTTGAAATTTTGAGCACTGAGCAAGCATATTTTAGTTTTTCCCTGTGGATTTGCTATGTCTCCATTAGGTAAAGGGCTCAGCTTGTGTTTGCCAGGCTGGGGCTGCTCTTGGAGCATCCTGCAGCACTAACAGCGGTCACTTCAATGTACAGCAATCCATGGTGGAGGATACACAGCCTGCAGATGGTCTTGACCCATCCTCCGGGGACACCTATTTTCCCATTCAAAGCTATCAATATAATCCAAATCTTTCATGTTTAGGCTTCCCTAGAATACCACTTACTGCAGGAGAGTGATTTAAGGGTCTATCAGTCACTAGCTGTGACAGCAGTAGGATGCACAGGATCTGGATATGCACGACAATTGCAGCCCACACCAAACCAGAGGAGGATGCAAGTCCACATAAACCTCCATGCTCTGCTGCCACATTTCCAAGACCTTCCTCTCCCACCTCAGGGCTGCAATGGCCAAGCATACATCTCCTCCTCCACCCAAACTTTCCTCCTCTCCTCATTTCTATTTCCTCCCGGCTCATTTGAAGCCCCCATTGCTGTCAGCCTACTTCTGCCAAAACGCTGTGCCTTGCTGCCACACGGCGTGAGCCAAGGGCTGTGTTTGTTTGATGCCTTTACAATACAGAGATCAACAGCTTAACAACCATAAAATGGTGCCTTTGCGGTACAGATTTCCAGCTGTGTGGTCCTTTGCCTGCATCAGGCTGCTTCGTCATTAAATTACAGCTGCTGAAAGCCCTTCATTGAGAAATATTTTGATGTTTAGCAAGTCATTCTTTTAAAGACTTGTTTGTTAAAAAAAAAAAGCCCATCATGTAAATCCCCCCTGGGTGCCAGGAACTGTAACTGCTGCTTGGTTGCTTCCCACCTTGACAGTGCTGTGGGAAGTTAAAATTTACAAAACTGATCCCTTTCCAGCTGGATTCTACCTGAAATTGGTTGGTTTATGGGTTGGGGAGTTAGGTTCGTAGAGACAAGGTGGTGGGGCTGGGTTCATGGGCTGAATACACACAGCAGGGATACTCTTGGGGGCTCAGGTTGTGGTTGGGAGCCCTCTGCTGTGTGAGGACCAGAAGAGCCCAACTGGAGAGGTGACTGATTTTGAGCAACCAAGATACAGACATGGGACATCTTCTGACCACACTATGAGGGAGGTCCCTCATGTCCCCTGCAGCTCTCCTGATGCTGAAATGCTGTGCCAGAGCTGGTGGTATCAGTGCAGAGGGCTCAGACTGCTCCTTGTTGAAAAATTTGGGGACTCCAAGTGCAATTGAGGACAGGTCAGACAGAAACTTTATTAACTATGATCATAGCAAGGGGACATTCTGTTCTCTGTCAAGTAATCACAGAGACCCAGCCTATATATTGCTTCAGAAAAAAGAAAGAGGTGAGGAAAACAATAATTTCGATGTAAGCAAGGCCAGGTATCCACCCCTGGGAGGAAGCTTGCAAACTGCCACAGCCTTAATACAGAGAGATGGCTCTAAGTGGAACCTATAGGAGTAGCCCACCCAGTACTGCATTGGCTCAGAAGTGGGGACTTGGAAACAGCCAGAAACTGTTAGCTTTTAGTTGAAATGGATGTTATTTTAATTATGATAAAATTCTGAGCCAGACCTCTCAAATCTTAAGTATTAATAATTTTACAACCACACCCTTAAAGCATATATAGGGAGAGGAGAGGAGAGGAGAAGGAAGAAAAGGAGAGAAGATGATGGGAAGATGAGAAGAGAAGAAAGAGAGAAATAAACATATATATCCCAGGAAATCTCTCTGGCCTTCTCCCCCACCACCACCTTTGTCCCCAGGAGCAAGGCACACCACCAGTGTGAAATAAACCTTCCAAAATCTGTTCTGACACAAACTGCAGGATCTAATCTGAGCTGGCAGGCATTTTGAGTGACCTAGCCGTGACATAGGGCAAATTTCTCACACTGGGATGAAGTCAAGGACTCAGCGATGTGGGGAAAACCCACAGCAAACCCATAGCAGAACTGATACACAAGCAAAGGTGCTTGTATCCTGGATTTGCCCAGATCCAGAGATGCCCTGGGTGTACAACAGCTCCTGTCATTGCCCCCACAG